CAGCCAGCCACACTACTGTCTTGTTGGTGCTCAACTCATTTTACCGACTTCGTAGTTGCCATTCGCAAAGGGGCTAGTGACAGTTCAAGTCTTAAGTTATTTTCTATCGTAGGTTTGGTGACTATAGAAAAAGAATGTGTTCTAACAGTTCACCTGGTGGAGAGCGAAGCAAAGTTCTTTCTAGTGAGTGAAGATGGGTTTTCATTCCGTGGAGCCCTTAAAGACATGATTGGCTTTATAAGCTTTTGCGGAGTAAATATCCGCGAAGTGATCGGGAAATAACGGTTTTTGCACAGCTTGTAGTTGCTCTGATTAAGCTTACATATGCGTTGGATATTAATGGTAAAAAAGGCACCCCACTCTACGTAAGTAGTGGTAGCCGCAAGCGTTTGGAAATGCATTCAGACTAGTGCTGACGTGTTTCTGTGTATTGGGTTAGAAATGTGTTGCATGCTACAACTTTGTTTTATAGACCAAACTTCTTATTGGCACTCATTGCTGAACATTGACCGATCGCTAGAATATACAAATGCAGAAAGTTCTGTTTGATAGAACTTTTCAGGTTCGTTTAGTCCCTCATTTTAGGAGAACACAAACGGATAAGTAAAATTAGTCTAGGGTCCCTTTTAACACGAAAAATTACCCAAATATAAACCATCGTTGATTTTTGCTGATATTTGCACACATTTCGATTGGTTATATTTTCTTAAAAACACACAGTTTTCACGTACAGTTTTCACAAAAGGCTACGCGAATAAATAAAATACGCCACCTTTTAGATGCCTAAAATTGATCGTTCCAATTTCTTTCATCAGGTTCTATGCAAAAGGTCATATAACTAACACTCGTTGACGAACGGCTCTCGATCGCTCTGCCTTAGGGCTCATTCTCGAGCCCTGAAAGCAGGCGTATAGCGGCTGGTAGTCTAAGCATTGCTGGCAAAGACACGGGAGATTGGAATGGCCATTTCTGGCTCATTGGCCGTCATCACCCAGTCATACCCAACCCCATATGATCAACTGCGACCTTTTTATCAGAATTCTAAGATTGTAATTATTGGGCCACGAGGTCGTTGTCTTGCCGGTTTAGATTGGGAGATATTGACACTCGTTGATGAACGTTTGCCGACCACTAACGGAGCTTCTTATTTTTCTCCCTCATTTCAGCTGGCAGCCCCCATTCAAGCTGCGGGACTGCTCACTTGAATATCTCAAGGACTCTCCTGTGCCTTACTACCTGCTACGTAATACGAACAAGCAGAAGAAAATAAAGTACACACCGGAAGAGGAACAAAAAGTCTGGTCTCTCCTCGGAACTCTTAATAATTTCGATGATAAGCCTACGTCAACATCAGCCGTCAAAGCTGAATCAGCTGCCGAAACAGTATGCTCGTTATAAGCGTGCTCACTTTACCCCCTTTGAAATTCTAGAGTCTCTTTTATGCCCAATCCGTGCCTGCTCTGCAGTCAATGCGTGAAGTTAAACGTGAACGCCGGGTAATTTTTGTGTCTGCAACTTACTCTGTCGATAAATCAAAGTGGATTAATTTTGGGGGGCTAAAATAGCCCCTTAGACGTTTGCTTTTTTTTCTCATGCTTAGTCGTAAAGTTGCTCTTTAAATTGGATCCTTAAGGCATGGTTTCTTACGATTTTACCCCACCTTTCTTCCGTTAGACAGGCGTTCCTTGACCAAAACCTTTGTTAGATCAGAGGAGTAGAGAACGAAGTTAGTTGTTAAGTTTGAAATATCATATCTGACGGTCTTGATCACAACTTACCTGTCAACAGGCGTGCAATGGTCTACGTCACCGGAGATTTTCTTTGCAGACCATTTGCAGCCACTTATAATTCGTTCATTTGGCGTGGAAAAGCCATACTGTTGGACGCCTTTCCAACTTTATCTGTATGCATGCTTTGAGTATAGGATGCGCTGACACATGTTTATTTTGCCGCTGTGTGCGTTCGCCGCCAAGTTTGGCGTTCGTTCGCGTGTTCTTCCTCTACACAGCCTTATATTTCTGCGTAAAGTAGCATTGGTTAATTTGCTGACAAACATGCGCTCCTTTCGTCGTCTCGTTTACCTCCGACATCTTACATTCCCATCAGAAGCGTCTTTTGTTCAAGTCTCTTTTTTTCTCTCTCTGATTCATCTTCCTCAAGGCAAAGAAGAAGGAAAATTTGGAGAAGTGGTATGGCCTGCCTAGGGGAGATCTGACGCCAGAAGTTAAAGCAGACTTGGAACTCATCGCAAAGCGACAGATTCTGGGTCAGGACCTACACACCCGAAAGGCTGATGGTCGCCACAGTCACTTCCAGGTACGCCTAACGACATAACTCAGAAGTTTGTTTAAGTTATCGCGATCGTGACGGTTACTGCTTACCCCCCTGTTTTTTCTTCTGCACACAGATGGGTGTAGTTGCTGATGATCCCGGCTCCTTCTACGACCGCATACCGCGGAAACAACGAAAGAGAACACTGGTGGACGAGCTGTTGGCTAACGCCGAATACATGAAGTAGGTCCCGTACTTTTTTTCTCCATAATTAGGTAGTGCTTTACCTACAAGTTAACATAATTATATTGTTTATCGGGGCCACTCGGGTGTGTGTGGGACCTACAATAGAACCAGTCAAGGGTTTATGGCGCTTAATATACTCAAAACCATTGTTGTTTTTGTTTACGAGAAAACCATGCCTCCGCCGTGTTGCCGTGGATAAACTTTCGAGTATTCATGCTTCTCCACAGAACGTTTGCGGCCAACCAAACCGTACTCTTAGAGGCCTAAAAACAACGCCATCACCTAAAATGAAATTTTTTTTCCGAGGTTCTGGTGTCGGTCAGGTCCTTGTTCCGTAATATTCGCACTGCTACCCACCATTGCCTTTCGGAAACCCGTGTAACTTTGTAGGAGGTTGGAATACCGCCATTCTAGACATCCGTTCACTTCACGCGTCAAAATACTCCAAATAATCCGGTTTTCTAAGTACGAACACTGCGAGGTTGTGGAGACTAAACAGTCCTATTTCATCATGAACTACCTTAGCTGCGCTCGTATGCTTCTAGAGTAAATACTTTAGTGTGCCGCAACCTACGGGTTAGCTGCTTTTAGAAAACGTTATTGGTGCTGTGGCTGTTGCAGCATAACGCAACCGTTACGGTAA